AAAGCGCTCGAATAGGGGGTCCAACGCATCCTTCCATATAGGCGGAGCCCAGGCAATAATGTTCAGCCTAAATGTAGCCGTGAATAGGATGAATGTTTTGCACATCACCAGTCGGTTGCGGGGGTGTCGCTGAAGCCATGGAAGCCATAAGCGCAGAAAGAGGCGATACCCAGTGACAATGCTGCAACCAGGGATTCCATATGTCTAGCGAGGTTGATTCCTGGTACTCCGTGAGAGAGTGGGAATTCCAGATATTTGGAGTGTTTCGGTTCGGCATGTGTGGGCGCCAGTTTCAGGGGGAGGTAACGTGTGTTCCAAGGTGCGTCTGCAAGCGTCGGCATGATAAGCTCACCATTTATACGGAGGGTTGGCGCCGCGTGTCGCAAGTCGGTAGATCGTACTCGGGGTTTAATGACACCCTGTTCGAGGCCAGATTTGCGTCCCCACGCATCAATGTCATCTAAGAAGGGCTGGAGCGAAACCGATCGAGGGGCTTGGATCCGTGTGTCATCGACAAATAAATAAGAGCGGAGGAGCTTGGGTCGAAATTGTGCTAGCGTGACAGCTAAGGAATCCATGTAGATAATAAAGAGCTGGGGGCCGACGATTGAGCTTTGTAGGATGCCATTTGTTCTATGGAATAGAGACGAGAGCGTGCCGCGGTATGTCACTCGGGTAGGGACCCTTCCAAACAGCGCGCGGAGGCAGTTGATCCAGTTTTCGGGCATTCCAGCGTGACGCAGAAGTACCCATAGGCGTGGGAGAGCGACCTTGTCGTATACCTTGGTTATGTCCAGACAGACGTCGTTCCACTCCTCTTCTGACTGTGTCTCAGATTCCATGGCGGCAAGTGCTTGGGTATAACAGGAGTACCGTGATTTGAAGCCAGCTTGGGTAGCATGGGTAGCAGAGCCGGGGTGGCTCGTAATCAGATTAAGAAAGTACTTTTCAAAGATGCGTCTGACTATTTGCGTAAGCGTGATGGGGCGGAAGTTGGCGGGGGAGGTGATATCTGCATCGACTTTCTTTGGGTGCTCTGTCAGGAGTCTGCAGTTCAGGGCTGCGGGGAAGGTACCCGCCTTCAGTAGCTCAGTGAATGCTTCGGCAAGAAGTCTAATCAGTGGGCTATTGGCGTCGAGGCGTCCTAATGTCCGGCGTTCGGTAGAGCACTCTACTGCGGCCTTCAGGAGGAGAATGTGAATCCCGTCGGGGCCAGATGCCTTATTGAGATAGCGTAGTATTGCCTCCATTATATCGTCGGGGCGTATGGTGGAAGTGTCGTCGAAGAGTCCGTCGTGGAAAGCTGACGCTGCGTATTGCTATCCATCGTGTCGGATGATTGTGTCGGGGAGACTGTTGGTATATAAAGTCGTCCGGGTTCCGCACGCGCTGATTCTTTAGAGTTTACCGGGATTCGCGAGTTAAGTGAGAAGAGGTTTGCATCATGCTTTGCTTGGTAAGCCTTCTGGAGACGGTCCGCGGTGGATTGGAGGATGTCTGCGTTAGTGGAGTTGACAAGTGGGCTCAGTAGTGCATCCATGCTGCGGGCAAGAAATTTTGGCGCTCGTTCATGTGTGCAGAGGGCCTCCCGCTTGGGGCGGAGATAGTGGATTAAGGCTGCTTTCGTAGCGTCGGGATGTTGTTGGGAGCGGGGGTCGATGTTTTCATCAAGCTGCCATTTCCACATAAGTGCTGCATGTCGTTTCACCTGGGCGACATAGTCGCTAGGAACACAAAAGCGGATGAAACTGGTGGAGCTTCCGCGGCGATCTGGTTGAGATACCGATTTAGACGGAAGATACCAGAGAAAGTGGTGGCGATTGAGGGCTGGTTGGGCATGCCAGTATTTTTCAAATACTGATTGGGATGGGGGCTTGCCGTTAGGAAAAATTGCTCGGAAGAAGAGCCATACCGGAGTTATGTCATCCATTTCATGAAGAGTTTTGTCCGGCATCGGGCGGCCCACCACTTTCGTCAAAAGCTCAACCGAATATAGGTTTCTAGGGACTATTAACGTTACCTAGTTGATCCTCCGACCAGCCAACCAGATGTGCCAGTCTGATGAAGGCTAAGTCGGTAATTTTTGATAGTGGCAAGTTATTGGTTAAGACAATAACTAAGGACGTCAAGAGTATTTTCTTTTTATATATATTTTTTCTAAAGAAAGGATTTTATGAGTCTCTCGGATTCGCCCCAGTGAAACATGCCATAGTTTCTAATAGAGCGACAACGAAAAACTAAATGAAAATCCCTTCGGCGGAATAAGTACTGAGAGGATAATATATAGGCAATGTCTCAGCCTCACAATCCCTTAGAGTATTACTGTTTTCACGAGGCCTACTTAACTTTACTAAACGTCTCATTTCGTTTATTTACCTTGATATTTACACGATACGAAGCTGTTGGTCAATAGATATAATTTTAACCACTAAATTTCTATACAAAGGTATTAATTAATAAAACCATTAAGACCCATTTAGGAAACTTAAGTTCCTCGCACTATTAAGAGTACGTTTATAATTTACGTACTGCTTAAGAGTACGTTTATAACATTTGAGTCTAATGTGGAGGCCCGGCTAATACACACCTTTTCGCCCATCGCTGCCTGCCTCAATTGCGCTAGGTTTCGACGTCGTTTACTGACGGGGGATAGTGTTAAAAGATCAACTGTATCCAGCAATTCACCTGATTGCAATACACTGCTTTGGATTTGATCGGCTTTACGTTTGTTTCCTTCACCTGTAGGCGTATTAGGCGTACATGATTCCGTAGACTCACCAGATTCTGTCGATTGTTCCGTCGCAACTGTCGCCTTGTCCGTCAAGTGTTTCTCCAGACTAGACCTTGCCTCAAATATAGCAACAGATCTATTTGTTATTTCCCTTTTGATTTCGGCCAGTGTTGTAGTTCGTGTTTCTGATGTGAAGTTCAGTGACCTACTAGTACTACTTATAGTAATAAATAGTGAGTACAGTCCACTACAGTACTATTTAGGTTAGTAGCATTTTTTAAAAACAAAAACAAAAGAAAACAAAAAAAATTATATGTAGCCAATGGATGTTGTGCATTGTCCAGCATTCCGGTAAATACTCGGGGCCTCGCGGGCTGGGGCCCTCGGGGTGTAAAATAAATAAATATGTACTCTATGCACTTGTCGTATTTATGCAGTGAGTATGCAGTATGCACGGTCAATAATTTTTAAAACTTGTGATACAGTCTATGCACACCAGGCCTAAAAGACTAAAAGTAGGTAGTCAGTGATGTGGGGAGTGGAGCTCTGGAGCCTCCAGGAATCCAGGAGCCACTGCTGACTGCTGGACACTGACTGTAGTGAGTTGGTGACTGGTGACTGGTGACTGGTGAGTGGTGACTCTGGAGAGTGGTGACAGTCAGACAGTTGATATAGTTGTACTAGATTCTCGTAATAGCTTCCCTGGCTTGGTAGCTTTGGTTGTTGGTTAAATACATTTCACATACATATTAATTTTAGTTTTAGGGTCTGGAGACTGGAGCCTATGCTTGGGGCCTGTGGCTTTGTGCACTCAGGGGTTAGGACTATGCCCTGCTGGGGAGGCTGGGGCAATGGGCAGGGGGCCACAGGCCCTCTCTCTCTAGAGAGTAAAGAGAGCCCTCGCCCCTTAGGCTTCAGCCTGGGCCATAGGCCCATAGCCTCCTAATGATTATTTGAGGAAACTATGCCGGCTCTGGAGTCTGGACTCCTGGAGCCGAATTCTAAATAAAATATGATCAATAATCACGAATTCACGATTCGCCGCTTCATGCATTGTTTTATTTATTTATTTACATACTAATACAAGTCTTACATATGTACTGCTTTATGGTTTTTAATTTTTAATTTTTTATAAAAAACCCCCAGCTTTTATGTACACACCTACAGACTGTCTAAATAGTAAATACTGTCTACACTCTACAGTTCAAATCACTCTACACGTATCACGTTTACGTTTTTAAAGTTTGGCTTCTATTTACTTTGTGTTTTGAAATAGTACTTTTTTATTCCTGTCTGCTTCAGAAATAGCAGGTGCAATTTTCAGGCCAGGGTCTACTCGCTCCAAGTCCACTGACCACTGACCGCTACCGGCTACCCTGTAAAAATTGTTCATATAAAAATATGCCCCCCAAATGAACAAACATAAATTGTCAAAACTCAAATCTTTTTACGGCCATCTTGAAGGATCTCTCTCTGTCTCAGAGCTGTTGTGGTATTTTTTCTCTCTCTCTTTATTAGAGTAGAAGGGCAGAGTTCATATTTAACGTAAAGCATATGTACGTTTATAGTCAATGCGTATTGCAATGCGAAATACGCATAACGTTTTCAGTCCGAGTCTTGCGTATACTATGAGTGTACTGCATGTATGTTTTAGAATTAGCATTTTCGTTCTAAATAGAATTAGCAGTTTCGTCGAGAATTAGCAGTTTCGTTCTAGAATTAACAGTTTCGTATAGAATTAGCAGTTTCGTTCTAGAATTAGCAGTTTCGTTGAGAATTAACAGTTTCGTTCTAGAATTAGTAGTTTCGTTCTAGAATTAGCATTTGCGATCTAGAATTAGCATTTTTTTTGTCCAAGATTGACCAAAATTTTATTTACTCAAAGCCTAATTCGTACTAGTTTATATCACCTTCCAATTATAAATAGGTTTTGGAAAAATATATTTCGTTTTTGGGCAATAAAATATTTTTTCTCCAGGATTTACGTCTATTTTCACACCGGAGAAATTATAACGTTGCACATTTACTGTTTATCGGTTACGGTATGAGCTCTGAGAGAGGGTCATGATATTTCTGATGTTTTCACAGCTTTGTGCATTTCGTGGCCCAATTTTCTCCCCGACAGGGCAACTTATCGAGTGCAAATTTTCAGCATTTGATACTAAAAATTGTCCCGAATATCGGTTAAAACGGTTTTTTAAAGCGTTACAGTTACCGTTCTCAAATCTCAATTATCACAGAAGTTCTATCTATTTTATTTTCATATATATTTTTTAATTCCACAATAATTGCTTTCTAATTTTTGTTTGTTTTAAAAAAGAAATACAAAAGTATTTTAATTTTTCATTATCAATAATACTTTCAGATTTTCCCCGCCACCATGGCCCCTTGCCCGAGATAAACAGCAAAATTATAGTTGTCAACGAATGTGAGAGCCTTGATTTCAAAATATTCTGTAAGGAGGAAATAGATACTCATTTTGATAAAGCTACTCTTCTTCTTCGATTTAAAATGAGTGCTATTTTAAAATAATTGTTACTCATTGAAAAAGTAGTATATGTATTACCATTTTTAAACGATGAAGGTGACAAACTGTTGGATGAAGTCGAAGACTCGAAGCTCAAGAAAATATTTGCACAAGACGAATGCAAGATTTACAAGTACCTATAATATCAACAAAATTTCAAACATTGTAAATTTTGGATCCATATTCCAGAGTGTACTTCTAAAAAAGCTATTTATATAGGAAAAAGTTTCTCTTTCTTATTCTCTCTCTCGCGATTGTCGTTATTTGAACCGCTGTAGGTTTGAATAGATGCTCTCTACTCTCTTGCGGTTACACACCTCAAAGTGAGCAGAGTCGTCGCAGAGAGTATTTACATTTACTCTCTATAAAATGATAAACCGAAAAGTTAGTTTTTTTCAACTGTGAAGAAAAAAAACGAGTAAATACAGTATTTACAGTACAAAACTGTGATTGTATTCTATTTTTGTATATTATTAAAAAAATGGAATGTTTATTTTTATATATACATAAAACAAGAAAAATTGCTAAAAAAAATTACAAATCAACAAACAAATTTACGTTTTAGAAAAAATAATATTTATATTTAAAAAAAAAGGTGATATATGTAGAGAACAAACAAACAAAAAATTCCCCCACTTCATATTTTTTCGTTGTTGCCGTATAACTTGAGATACAAGATTTTTTCTAGAGTAGAGGCATTTATTTTCTGCACCTATTGATTTTTAATATGTTTTTTTTTTCCTGTACAAGAAATGACCAGCCTGTTTATCATTTTTAAAAATATTAAATATAAAAAAGAATCTTCTAAATGAAAAAGAAGAACAATACTCGATGACTCGATGTTTTTCGTTTTGGTTTCATCAACAAATAGGAACAAAAAAGAAAAACAGAACAAAATATGGACCAACTATAGAAAAACTGAAATGTACTCATAAAACGTCTCGTGTTTTGATTGTCAGTATATACCAACACAGGAAACGTACAAAATAAAATTATGATTTCATTGGATAACATCATTTTCTTTTTTCCAATTGTTTTTGCTCACTGGAAAGAAAAGTGAAACGCGGTACTAAAATAGTTAATACGCGGGTATTTACAACACCAAACCGACAGTAGACTGCGCGACAAACCTTAAACCGTTTTCCGTTAAAATGTTTATAAATCGAATAAATATACGTTTACGTTCAACTTTTATTTCGTTTGCGGTCCTTTTTTATGCTTATAGGTGCACAACTTGCGGGTCTAAATATTTGTATGTCCTATTTTCATCATACTAACTAGGCGGATAAAAGAACATAACGTTTTAAAAATAGATAAATATGCGTTTAAGTTCAACTTCTATCCCGTACCTCCATAAAGTTATGAGCTTTGTTGCACGAGAGTGCACGGCCACGCCTGCACTGTGTTGACCAGCCCTACCTCTTACAGGCTCACATGGCTCTCTTTTACGTTGCAACGTGTATATTTCAAAAAGTATACGCAAAACGCTGTACTTTTATATTCATAGAGTAGTCCTGAATATATATATAGGGTCATTCTCCAGGTCATATGGTTGGACCTATTTTTACCCGCCATAGTCCTGCGGACGATAGTCCGTTCAGCCATATTTTCTTTCTTCTCTACTAGGAGGGTCATGCCAAGCTTGTTGGAATAGCGCTGTCCCAAAGTGCCAGCCAGTTGTCAGTGATTGGTCAATTGCGCGACCAGTTGCGCGTTTTGTGGCTAGAATATTGCGAAAAGGTGCATCTACCAGGTCGAAAATCAAATTATTTCCGGCCAATATATTTGCAAAAAAACGTTACAACGTTTAAAAATCAAAAAGTATACGTAAAACGGTGTACTTTTATTTCTACAATGCCTTACTTAATGAGGTTAGCCTCACGGCTCACACTCACTGTGGAAAAAACAGAAAGTTAGGTGTATATACAATTTTTAATTGTTATTTTATGCTGGTTTTATTTAAAAAAAAGAACAAACAGTTGGATTCTGGTTTTTGTGTCCAAAAAAAGTTTAAAAAAAACTTGTGTGACGATGAGGAGTGAGGTCTGAGTCACTTATTTACACTGATTGTCTCCGACTCTCTCTGTGTACTTGTTTTGTAAAAAAAAACACTCTAAAAATACATACAATTTGTTTTCAAAAATTTAACTGCAGAATCCCACTGCGAACTGCGAAATCCAACTATATATTTTATATAATACTGTTATCAACTACCTATATTGCTGTTACCACATGAAGACATATATAGCCAGTCCAACTTTCATAATTTTAACAAATATCTAGTATCATGAGTTCGAAGCACTACTGCAATAGGTGTGTCAGTCCATTAACAAGGATAGAGGGCTTGAAATATAAGCGTCGATGTAGCCCACTTTTAAGCGGCGGGCGAGTGGGGTTCAAGAGACAATGTAGGTGTAGGGCAGTTCTAAACGCCAGACATCGTGGCATACAGGCTACAACGTACTGTGCTGAACAAGCGAGGTTGCCAAGCTCGCAGATCAGTAGCTATCGATCGGTCGCAGCATCAGATACGAAAGAGAGTGTTGTTTTACCGGACGAGCTTCTTCTAAAAATCTTGTCGAAATTGAGATTTCATACACTGATAGAGTGCAAGTACGTAAGCATAATATTCAATACCATCGCAAGTGACTCCTCTTTATACAAAAGACTCCCGTATAAGGTTTGGAACGATTCATTGAGCAATCTGTCAATTGAGAAGGTTCTGCAAATCCTGAAGCTCTACCCAAAACTGGAAGCTTGGACTTTCTCGTCGCATCACCAACCTACTGGCAGCACACTAAAAGAACTTTCACACACTCTTCCGAATTTGAAACGCATTGATGTAACAGATGTTGAGGAGTATCAGCACCTGGATCTGCTTGGATGCTGGCCCAAGTTAGAGTCTGTAATCGCTCCTGAATATTTTTCAAACGATCTTACGCATCTAAAGGTGTTGGAGATAGTCGAAGGGCGGAACGATCTGCCGGCAATAAAATCCAACAGTTTGGAGAGGATCTGCGCTGGACAGACAACTTGTGTACAGAAATTGCTCGATGGCTGCCCAGGCCTTAGATATCTTAGGTTACACTGGCAGATTTTAAATCAAGAACTACATAGCACAACACTTCAGAATCTGGCTGTGTTTTGCATAGAGTCTCCGACAGCATTGAATGATTGTACGAATCTCGAAAGGTTGGAAGTAACTGAAATCAATGAAACTAATATGGCAAGTTCCACTGCGCATACACTGCGTATCTGGAATGGCAATGTGCCGTGTTTTCTGCTGGACAAGTTTCCATCCGTAACTAACCTGGAGTGTAATTACCCAATCTCGACACTCTCGGAGGGCTTCGCCTCAGGTAACCTACTACGACTGGAGCTGGCAGAAAAACTTCCAAGAATGTATAGTCTGCCAAACGTATCGGAGATGATATTGCAAAGGGTGCCTGTCACCACTGGTATTCGATTAGCCGGTTTACGTACATTGAATATAAGGTGCTTCGCCGATAAAGCAGTACTTGTCAGCACTCTTCTACAATGCCCACTGCTCAAGACTGTACACCTGCAATGCACTGTACCCTGGCTAGACAGCGGTGATATAAGAGCGTCTTCATCCGAAAGCGTGTGGAAAGAATTTTCTCGGTTAGATTTTAGATCAGTGTGCATGGTAGTTGGCGATGAGCTGCGAGGAACAATGCCGCCGTCTTTTGATGAATTATTGAGCGAGCATAGAGCGGGCTTTGCGACACCATCAGAGAATCTTATGTTCTCTTAGCCAACAGAATATATAGTAAAGAATATGTTCTTATATTCTGATCTTCGCGACGTCTCACAGTACCTGCGTTATCGCTTCTTGACTTTTTCGGACACAAACTTCAAAATTTTCGTTATTTTTCAACACCGAAAGAATTTGGGCTGACTTGTCGAATAGCCTGAATGCTCAGTCTTTCAATTATATTGCAGTCACTTTCCCACCGAGTGCAATCTCTAAATGACAACCCAAATTAGAAGCTACTACTCCCACGCTTACCACGTGGTTTAATCCAATATAACGTACTGGTATTTCCGTACATTTGCCCTTCAACGTAAGAAGGAAACTGCCGGCAATAATTTACATTCGGTCGATGTGCGTGTTATGTCCATGATGGTATTAGAAGCACGCCTCACTGCCATAGTCCACACGTAGGATATATATATCTGCTGATACAGGTTACGATACTCACCCTGATTATCTGACCAGGTTATTTCTGCGCACACATTGGTGCAGCGTTGCATAGTAGAAAATGGGAGCTATACCCACAAGACACAAAAACTTTACGAACTGAATCTTAAGAACCTCGGGGCACCAGTTCATTTGGGCGATGCCCATCCATTATTATAATAATTTGTTTCTCATCATTCTGTTCTTGACGGCAGCCGTCTGCCTGATTCTACTGGCTTGTACTTTAGCCTCCTCCAAATCAATAGCCCCTCCCGTTACGAGTACTCTAGCACTTTCTCTTTCCGCAACAGCAGTTTCGCGATGTCGCTCAAGCTCACTTTTCACACTACTTACACTCATCTGCTTGTTTAGCTTCAGAAAGCATCCATTATCCGTACGGAACTCCGAAATCCACCCTGGCGGACATAGTTTGAGAAGCAGACGCACGCTGGCATACATTTTATCGATAGGGATACGCGGCCTATAAGTGGCTTGCATTTTTTCAGCCACCACATCTAGAGCCAGCACCGTTCTTGAAGCGCCCGCGGAATTCTGATAAAATCGTTGAAGATACATATGCATTATCAATATCTTCACTTTGATTATTTCAATGTGGTTTTCACAAATATGAATATGCATTTACATAAACGCCCCTTCTTTGCGCTTACCAACCACACAGTGCTTTGACAGACTGAAAGAAATTAGGAGATTCACGTGTGAATGGCACTTTATATAGAAACCCTAGTTCCACGAACTCAACATAGAATAGTCGCCCACACTTTGACGCTCATATGAGGCCCACACTCACAGTGGCACGGCATGAGCCATATGGGAAAGCATAGCAAAAATGGCCCCCCCGGATTCATTTATCAACCGCTGCTATTTCAAAACAACACTGTAGAATATACACACACGTACCTGTCCTTGTCCCACATCGTACAACGAATGCAGCAGAAGGGCCATACTGGGCAGTCTCTCTACCAGTGCGAGCTCATCACTGCGGGCTTGAGATAGCCCAAACATCTGCTGCCGCGCCTTCATCTCCCCTTTGGCCTTGACTCGTGCGAGGAGATTGTCAGGGATCAGTTGCTTGCGCCTCACACGCGCCAACTGTGGTTTCGCTGTCCCGATTTTTGTCCCGCTATCCGCACCTTGAATTGTACGTGTAGTCTGCTGCGCTGGTGCGACAACCGTATCTCCACTCAAGTGACTCTCTGTCTGAATCTTTCTCTCCGATTCACTCGACCGTGCACCACGCGGTCTTGCAGGTGATTGGTTGGTATTGCACTGAACTTTGAGAGCCTGCCTCTCTTTTTTAGCACGCGCCAGTGCGGCCATAACAGTGTCACTCATACCCTTACGCGCCGTCGTACCAGTTTTTACTGTGTCTGCGCTTCCAAGTACAACATCCCGTGTATATACAGACCCATCGGCCCGTACCCGCCCATGCAGCTGTGCGTGCGCTTGCAGCTCACTGTGGGCTTTGTCCTCTGAAGTCGCCTGTGTGTGCGCGCAAGGCTTTGTTCTAAATGTCGCGTGTGCATGGGAGGGTGTGTCACTGCTTGTTTCCACCCCAGGCTTTGTGCGCAGAACATCACCCAGTATACTCGCAACCCCACTTCGGGGTTTCCGGTTCTTGTTCTTTTGACTACCCTCCTTCCCAAGTGCCCCTGCCTGCCTACAGTCAGCCGAGCTTCCCTCACCCTCCATTGCATCTGCTGTATCTGCATGCAGAGCGCGTTTGTCCGTCGACACGCTGTTGTCAGCACTACCGGCCCACACATTGCGTGCGTTTTCGCGCTTGCGCCTGTTTGCGGCAGCCTTCTCCAGAGCCAATCGTACGACATCGCTCATCTGGCCAGCTTTCCCCAGAACTGCCGCCGCTGACACGTATTTCTGCTGGCGCGAGCATACATAGTTTTAAAAGTTGTGGTGTGTAATAAGTACCTGGAATGTCTCGTTTTTGATACTTCTTCAGTGTCTCACTGTCTGCAACCAGTCATAAAAAGTTGATATACACGCCAGAAATATACTTGCGTAGCATGGAAATTTATTGCATATTGATCATAATGGCTACAATTTAGCATTGGTATGTGTATGGGTAGCGTAAGCGTACTTGTATGATCCGACAACAAATACCATTTCCAAGATTGCTGGACCTTTTTCCATAGGACACATACACATGCGAAGTCGTACTACTAGTGAGCAAATCTGGGCGCGAAATGTGCAGCTATCTCTAGTGATTCATTTCAGACACATTTACGCATGATAGCGAGTAGCTACTGCAACTTCAAGAGTTTTACAGAGGTTTAGACATTTGTAAATTTTTAATCAAGGAAAGATACACACCATATTCGTATGAACATATATAAGTTTCTTTTCAAGGAAAGTGGTACACCATAAAATTAAGAGCTTACAAAATTTTTATTCCACGAGAGACACAGACATATAAGCGAGTTTTTATTGAGAGAAAGATACACACACCATGCAAGCCTGAACATATGCCATTTCAATTCAAAGGTGCAAATACACACTTTACACTTATGTGCGCACGCTATACAAGTCTGAGCATGTTCAGGCTCCTATTCGGGGCAAGATAAAAGCCAAAGGAGCGATATAGAATATATAGGAGGACGATTGCTGCACATTTAGTCCGACTACGACTACTCACCTGGACGGGGGGTTGCGGTATGGCCGCTTCTTCAATTTCAGGAACAGAATTCAGATCAAATCCAGGGTGCCAAGACTTCAAAATCTCGTCATCATATTCGGCTGTAAAGCCCTTTGCGATGACATATTCCTGCGCAATACATAAGAATACAGTAAGACATGAAGTGCTGGATAAGTTTGTGGACATGCTTATGCACAGCTGTCAACCAAGAGAAAAATGTTATGATGTGGATGTGCATGGATGCCTAGCTTTAACTCAAGGCTTTGATTCGCTGTACCCCAAAGAGGTGGTGCATGTTGGGAAATACTGGAATGAAGCAAGCCACAAATTGACGAAAATTAATTTTCATGGCTTCTAATCCGCACCGACTACATCACAGAACCACGCTTTGTTCAAATATTAAAGACGGTATAGCTTTTCACATACAACAATCGAATACAACTGCTACTTCCTATTCACGATTGCACGCCACATTCCGCAATGAAGATACTATTCGAATGCCATACTCATAGGTACACACTTGCAACAAACATACACTTCAACGATCATATACTTAAATTGCTGTATTCTCACGTACCCGGTGGAGGTCCAATGTGCGTTTGAGCAGCATCAGTCGGAATTGTGTCTGCCGGGTTTGGATAGTCTTGATAGACGTGTGGAGGACCTTTCCTACAATAACACAATACAGACATTAGACGCTCAATGGCCATGAAGTTTTTCTGGAGTGGTTGTACATGAGTTTGTAGGTCCGCAACGCTACAAAGCCTACGATTGCGGTGGAGTATATGTACACCGCAACCGTATTTGGTGGTACCTTTGGAGTTCTTAAAGAGGAGCAAACATTTAATTCGCCGATGCGATGCGGTACTTCTACGTAGATAAGGTACACGATGCCTTCCTTGTTCCGCCAACTGCCACACATAACACAGTCCAGCCATAGACACTTAAGTGTTCAGTGCAGATTGAGGCATCCAACTACACACATGTCAGGACGCACAAGGGGCTTTCAAGGAAAAGACAACAGTGGCAGAAGAAGGCATGCGCAAGTGTTACAAATAGAGATGAACAAACGTCTGCAACCCACTTTACCATACCCATCATCAATATCAAATGGTGGTGTGTAGCTAAAAGATGACTGTCGGGGCGGGTTCCGAAGGAACAATAGCGATACGCGCGAGACGGATTGTGCGGTGTAAATAACACACATGTTCCATTGTCTGTTCGACAAGCCCTACAATGCACCTAAAACAACGGCAGAAGTTTTGTCCTAAACGAAATTGAGTACCTTTCACTCCTTCAAGAAATGACACAGAATATAATCCAATGCGAGAAATAGCGGGTATTTCTTTGCTTCTCCGCAAATGCACCCATACCACAGGCACAGACATACGCACACACAGGCACACGCACGCACACATGCACATATATACACATGCACACGCGAGCGAGGTTGTGATCATAAGCCGGTGCGCACGCTCGGCTAGCGCCATCAGATGCAGACACAGTAAGCTGAACTAGCATAATATACATTCATATAGCAGATGGAAGGGTATCGCTACGTATATGAACTCTTAAGCCCGAGTACCGTCACTATATGCAGATGCTTATGAACTGGAGAGGCCTCCACTGTAAGCGAACACTCATACACTCTCACTCAAAGCGGCCTTACCCTCTGGCGTAGTGTGGGACAGATCTGCATCTATCAGGAGCATAAACTTTTCTCTGTAGGTAGTGGCTGTGCGTAGCTCAGACACTTTCTGCGACAGTTCGCGTTGCAAATGGTACATCTCAGGCCATACTGCCATCATCTGCATCAGATGCTTCTCTGTGAAGGTCTTGTGCAGACTCTGGTGGATCCAGGTCTGCGTAAGTGTATGTAGACATTGGGCGTGTGAAGAGATAGGTTTCGTGTGTATGTGCGTGTGTGTGTGTTCCCTGGGGATGTCGATTGAATGTCTTCCTGTGCTCTTAGTTCTATACAGAATAGATGGTGAAAGAGAAGTGTCTTGTCTGTACGACACATAGGATTTATTGCCATTGGTGGTTGGGAGTACGTGCTTTTCCACAGGCCACACAAGCTTAAACTGCTAATTCAATTCCTTCTCGAAAAGCTGTCGTCAAGTATACCATGAATGCGTAGTAACGCGAATACAGACGTAGTTGAAAATGCACAAATAGCGGGGCTACACTAGAAACGGATATAGATGGATGCGTGCTAGTTGGTGTAAATTTTCGCATATGTGTGGATCCGTGTCTATATATACACATATACAACACTCGATGATCAAAAGCTGGATCGTGTTCCTACGCTACTAGCAGACTGCAAATGAGAATGAGTACTGGCCCATACAACGAGCAAGTAGATGCGACTCAGACCACTAACACCCCCCGAATACCGTTCCTATTGAATGTGCTAACAGGACCCACACTCAAGTCATGGGTGTTGCACAAGAACGAACAATAGTGTAGCTGTAGGCGTATGCGCAAGGCCGTCGCAGTAACAACCGCCAGCCAACCCCACTGGGTGAAAAAAAGAGTGCTTACAGTTTTCTCCTTGTACACAGCGACAGATACCATCAAACCAGCACACACCTACAAGACAGACGCACTCAATGCACAAGCACCGTACTTACAGTCCGACACAGGGAGATGGTGTATTTGTTTCAGGAATTCAGATTCCTGTCTCGAACATAGCCGGCTTGAGCATCACAGCATGTCACCTTGGTTTCATCAAAAACGATAGTGTACTCGATATGATATCTGAGAGATGCACACATAATGCTTTCAACACCTACCTGAGCGCGGGCAAAGGTGAGGTTCTCCTTAAGGCCCTTGCGGTGACGTAGCGCCAAATCCAGTGCGCTTTGCATCTTGCTAAGAAGTTCGTATCTATATGCGATGTTGGTGTGTATTCGAGGACAGTACATGTCAGTTCAAAGGTCATACAAACACGCAGACGTGAGAGTGTGCGATGTATCCGGAGTTCAGTGGTAAAGTTGTAGTAGGATCGTCAATTTGTGTAGCTGGGTTGCAGACTATATTTAAAGTCATATGACCCGTGTGACATATTGACCAAGTTTCTCGCCATGCAGTTGATAGACAAGCATACTGAGCGAGAAGTATCTAGTGTACGCTTTGTTTCACTCCAGGATTGCAAGTGTTTGCGTGCCGTACCAAAGCATACAAACGATATAACAGCGATGTACCACTAGATATAGCTAATATAACTGGACTCTTCGAGTGTTGTAGGTTTAGATGGTACATTGTCTATATATAGTAGAGCTCATGAAGGGCATGATTACACGAACTAAACTGGTGAGATTGTATCAATGCTGCCAAGAAACCCTGGAAGTACTGAGAAATAATCCTATCACGAGATTGTGGAGGTAGCTTCTGCCAGGCGCGGATATGAACCCTACCCGGTTATAAAACCACTCGGTCATGATGCATGTTAATACATTTAAAATAGTGTAGTCAAAGTATACCAGCCTGTATAGGTATTATGGGCTGGGGATATCGACACAATACGCACACCAGTGGAAACTGGAATCCGAATGCGATAATTGACTATCCTGGTATCGATACTACACCATTTACATGATGTATGCACGACATGGGGAGCGCGCATTCCTTGAGCGGAACACGTAACATCACACAGCTATAAATCACAACACAGAAGACAGTCGCCTACTAAAATCGTAACGTGCACAAACTTACGCTGGGGGGAGCCGACGGTTGATTTGTCTTGGCGTGAATAAGCTCTGCACCTCTGCCAGTTGCACACCACTGGTATGCGATGAAGCGTGTGCCGTTGTGCTGGTCGCATTTATGGCCGTCTCTGACGGGATGGAGGTGTCTGTGCGGTCATGCGTAGGTTCATGCTCACGTATAGGTGTACGTATGTCGGGTAGTAAGGGAGTGGACGTGGGGTTGGGTGTGCGTGTGTGACTGTCTTTAGCTGGGCTGGCAAGGTTAGGCATTGTGCGTGTGGGCGGTGCCTGTTGCACACCTCTCACAGACGCAAACAGCCTCTCACTGCGCGTCAGTCCAGTTTGTCTCGCTGGTGTCTCGGGCAGGGTCTTGTTTTCATCACTCACTACGTGTAATGCGTTTCTGCCCTCACTTGCCGCTCGCAAGGTTGTATTCCTTGTACTCTTCCTTGGTACAGGTTTAGCCACCTCATCAGCCTCTGCCACAGCCACACCTCTGTCATTGTTAGCTCCGTTTATATCACGGTCCGCATGGCTCTCAGCGGTCCCGGACTGCAGTATACTATCCTCGTGAGCGTCTGGTGCATTCTTATCTACATCACTTAATCGCTCGCTTCTGGGTGTGGAATCATTGTCATTGTTTAATGGCGCGGGCTTGCCATTGTGTGCGCGTGCGCTCTCTAGCACGTCCGACCTTGAAGTGATAGGAGACTGCTGTTGTACAGCTACGTGTGGCGTTGCTGGTGGTGTTGTGTCTGTCTGCTGTGTCTGTCTAATGCGCCGCAGTGCATTGACGTCTTCTCCCTTTGCCTTCGTGGGCGAGTACCTTTCCGCTCGTGCGAGTCCACTGATAGTGCTGGAGACCTTTGTACTTGACGTTGGTGTGTGTTTCACGTGGTGTGAACTCTGTCGACGAGTCCGGGGCAGGCTGTCCCGTACTGGGGTATGACTCATACTATCATCAACAGGCGCTTGTGTTGCTATTGAAGAAGTATCTTTCACAGGTGTGGTCGGTGTGCTCTTGACCCTCTTGGGCAATTCTTGTGATGATCTCCGGTATGTATGCACACGCGAGCTGTTGCTTCGTGCGTGCGACACACACACAATCTCTGCACTCGCAAGTGCTTCTGAGCTTCCTCTTCGCGTGTTGTTGATCGGTGAGTCATTGGCCGTACTTGAGCTCAGCAGAGATGGTGTCCCGCTATTGTGCGACTTGGCACCACTTTTCGCTGTGGCAGCGACAGCTTTGCGTGGGGATGTAGTGTTGAACAGATTCCGTGAAGCACTCGAGTGGCCTGGGCTCGGAGCTGATGATATAACGAGATTCGCGCAGATGTGAGTACTACTGTAGCTAACTATCCAAAACGGGTGGGTAGTAGTTTACTCCAGTGTGTGTGCTTGCATCTGATGACTTAAAACAGTGTACTAGTTCAATTTAGCTGGTGTGTGTTGCAGTCACCGCGAGTGCGATGAGCATTAACATTCAGCCGTAGATAGACAACATAGTGTACACACACGCAGCAACGTTATCACACGCACAATCGACTACACTCTACTCCATAACAAACCACACGCCCGCCAAACCCAGCCCCCTTCCCTTCCATTCCCAACACGCTTACCTGTAGTGTCCAGTTTGCGCTTGGTAGGCGGTGACCGCCCCATCATGCGCATACGCGCCTTGTGCCTTTGGTCGTCTTCTGGATTGGTCTGTGGGGGTACGTACAGCAACACAGCAGCCACTGAGCGTTGCGGTGTCGTGGGAGCCGACCAGTTGTGGTGCACTACTGCGAGAGTGGTCCCTTCAGCTGGATCTGCATGTGTGAGGTAGTGCGTCTGTGTATTAGCAGAGCTTGGTATTCGTATATCGGTAGTAAGGCCTGACTGTGCCTCATGTACATACGGTAGTTACTGCGTACGGACGAAGGGCGGCTATAGCGCTGATACAGAAACATCGTGATTCTGCCTGAGCAACTCGTGTATTCGCCACCCGCGTAGAGACTTATAGCCATGTACCAGTAGTTTAGTTCTAACCGAGCGTGTGTATGCGTGTTTGAACTATCAAATTCGTAATTCGTCCTATCATATTGCGACAGCGACAGAATCAGGTCATACTTGTATCAGCACCAATTCGAAGTTCAATGCGTATGTACGTTGACAATAGTATTCGAACGGACGGGGTGCGACTGCTAGTTTATACATATGCGTATTGCGTTAAAATAGGCTGTGATTGTATCCTTATATACTGCAAGGACGTGTTTTATGCACATATATAATTTTCCTGTAAGCACATCATGTGTGCGTAGATGCACTTTCATGCGGGAATACTGTCATATTGATACAACTATGGATGTTCATGCGGGTATTAATATGTACATACCTGATTTGGCGGTAGGTGTGCCTTTATCTGTGGCCATATGGGATGTCATTGCATCGTCCAGTGCTTTGGCAAAGGTTGAATTTGACGGCGTAGCATGGTCTCTCATGAACTTGCTACTTCGTGTAGCGATGGGGGTTGGCGCCTGCACAGGTGTCCAACGCATGAGAACGTGAAACGTGATGAGATTTCGCATGCCTGGTTGATAAGTATACCACAAACGTCAATACGAGCGTGCAAAACGCTTCGCAGGTATTGTTGTGCCTTACAGTGAGCCCTTGTGAGCCTCCTTCGCCACGAAATATATCGATATGTAGAAAAAAGACACTCGGGACTGAATATATCATAAACGCATACCTCCGTTTTGAATAACATAATATAGCAACAATAAATTAACCTGGTTCATCTCGACACCGTATCATATCCGTACTATGACATCTTCTAATTGTAGGGTACCAAACACATGTGCCGTTTAAGGGTATACTGAAGTGTCCTAGCTAACAGCGATAGAGATTGCAACATACAGCATCTTATATAGTGATACTGGGCGCCGTATATACTTCTAGCACACTACCACCGGGTGATTTGCAATACTCCATACAAGTAGTAAACGTTTTATTCCGACAACAACCAACAGTATGTTTTCGGTCGCAGCACAATACGGAACAGACGTGCGTCGGTTTAATGAGTGCGTAATATACCGAACCTTAGTAGCAAGGACAACAAGAAGTGGCCTTGTAAAACCAACTAGCCTATTTACATAATAAAATAACCTCCCAGATTACCTTAAAGGCCGAGCTATCTGAACCCTCGGGACCCAGAGAAGGCAAATAGTCGCCAGTACCACCCAACGTGGGTTTTTGTGTTCTCCTGACCATAGGAGAAGACAACACGCCTTGTAAATGACAGTGAGAGGGAGGTGAAATAGGTTAGTATACCTCATGCCGCAGCCAATGAGCAGGCTAAGTGAGGAACAACGTGCATGCGTTGTATAGGCACTGCGCATAGCTAACTTAAATGTTCGCACGCGCCACTTTATAAATATCGATATATGTAAATTTATAAATATATCCATGATTATATTATATATATATA